AGAGGATTGACTCCCCCAAGTTGTCCTCTGACCACCATTCCTACACACAAAATAAATGTAATAAAAAGTCTTTTCAAAGACTCTTGCTTACACTAATAGAAGTAACATATGGGCATGTGATATACATTAGCACACCACCTCTTCTCTCAGAGAAAACAGTGAACACTATGCAATATGATCTTTTCTCTAGAAAGAAAGATTATCCGTGGAAAACAAGCTATCATTTTGGCTTTTCTTGCACTCAGCAAGCAGTTTCTCCTCTCCTCTCTTTTTTCCTTTCTCTTCTTTCTCATCAAATAATATCCCCACCCAAATCTGTAGCAGGCATCAAGTGTAGCATTCCTTGGGCTCCTTTCAGAAATCATAATAAATAAGACAGTTCTGTTTTTATTTGGCTGACTCTTTATTTGGCATGTAATAAGGTTGCTGTGATTCTGAGAACTCAGTGATAAATTCTCTGTAGCCAGAAGTTTTCCTGTGTCCTGCCTGGTCCTGCAGCTGCTTAGTCCCATGTAAACACACAGAGGCTCATATTAATTACAAACTTGATGGCCTATGGCTCAGGCTTCTTGCTAGCTAGCTCTTACAACTTAAATTAACCCACTCCTATTCATCTATGTTTTGCCATGTGGCTTCATGGCATTACCTTTTCTCTCACATCTTGCTTCTGCTGGCGGTGGCTTACAGTGTCTGCTCTGACTCCACCTTCCTTCTGCCTGTATCTTTGCTTGGATTCCCCACCTGGCTCTATTCTGCCTTGCCACAGGCCAAGGCAGCTTCTTTATTAAGCAATGGTAGCAACACATATTCACAGTGTACAGAAAGACTATCCCATAGCAATTCTCCCTGTGATCACACCTTCTGGGAAACACATTTTTTAAAAATTTTGTGTGTGTATGCTTGTGTGTGTGCATGTGAAAACTCACTGTATGTGCATATGCATGCCACTATATGTGCACAGCAGAAGTTAGAGGATGATGTTGGGTGTCTTATTGCTGTTTGCCTTATTGACTTAAGACAGGGTCTCTTCCTGACCCAGAAGTTTGGAAGCTTGCCATTTCTACTAGGCTGGCTGGCCTGTGACCTCCTAGGACCTGATGTCTCCACAACAAGGTGCTAGGGTAATGAGTACACACAGCCATCCCCAACAATTTCCATTAGCGCTGCTGATTCCAGCTCAGGTCCCCATGCCTGCAAAACAAGGGCTCCTAACCGTCTGAGCCGTCTCCCTAGCCTCAAAATATGCTTTTGTTTTTTGGGTTGCTCAATACTAAATAAGCATCAGTCTTGAGATAAAACTAAGTACTGAACGTAAAAAATCTGTATAGAGGCCTGGCAGTGGTGGCGCATGCCTTTAATCCCAGGACTTGGGAGGTAGAGCCAGGCAGATCTCTGTGAGTTCGAGGACAGCCTGGGCTACAGAACGAGATCCAGGACAGGCACCAAAGCTACACAGAGAAACCCTGTCTTGAAAAAAAAATCTGTATAGAAAACATGCAAACTTGGGTAGGGTGGTGCCTTTGGAAGGTTGAGGTAGGAAGATCCTCAAGTTTCAGGGCCAATATGAGCTGCATTGTGAGACTCTGTGTTTAAATAACTAAATACACAATTAAGTATAAAGGAAAGAAGGAAGGACTCAAGAGTAAAAAAAATAATAATAATAAAATGAGAAATTTGATTTCAGCTCTCCACTAGAGCTGAATCTAGTGTCCCCTGCCTGGCTAACTCAAGGGCAGTATATATATAAAATGGGGCTGCCTGACCATTTATAATATTTTTTCTTCTCTTTGTAAATTCCCTCATTGTTTCAGTGGCTCTGTAGTTAATTTTTTTCTAATGAGATGAAGCTAACTAAAATCATCTGACATAGAAAAGGATGAGGTAAAGTTAAAAGGAAATCTAATTAGCAAGTTAATTATAGCAGGAAAAAGTGCACGGGTTATATAAATAAGCCGTTGATGTATGCATGTATGTTGGGCCTTGTTTAGGGGCTTGTTAAGGTTTAGAGGTCAGAGGAGCTGTGTAATGATGTGTTGGGAAAAATAATAATAAAGCCAAACATCCAGACTTAGGAATGGCTGATGAGCCGCTAAGAGAACGCCTTATTAAATCCTGCTGTAAGGCTGAAAGGGTGGTTGGAGCTGCTTCAGAGATAGCCACCCCCCTCAAAAGAGGAAAAAAAAATAGTAGTGAGCTGGAACCAGAGCCAACAGAATTGCTGATGAGGAAAGTTTAAAAGCCTGACCACAAGGGTCCTTGGACCAAAGAGGTGGCCTTCTGCCGGTAATGTCACAGTCTGCTGGCTCGCAGGGTCAGTATGCTGAGCAGCAAGAAGAAATACATTGTCAATAGCAACTCTGGGATTAAAGCCCAGGTGAGGCTAAGCTCCTGTTTGCCAGTCTTGCTGCTGCTGCTGCGGCCATTACTGTCTGAGGCAAGCTGCTTGTACTCTCCTTCCCTCCTGTCCGGCCTTCATCCTTCCCTCGGGAGTGTGGTGAGCTCCCCATTCCTTCCGGCTTCTCTCCTCCCTTGCCTTGATGTGAGGCAGTGCTGAGGTGGGAGAGGAGGGCTGCCTGCAGGGACTCTGGCTTTGGACAAGGTAGGAAAGTTAGGTAAATGTTGGTAGATGCTGCCAAGGGCCTTAACTGGCCGGGCAGAGCATTGTTTTACAGAGTGGGATGGTACTGGTGAAGAAGGTACCAGAGACGCCTCATTTAACTCATGTTTCGGTTACCAGTGAAAAGTAAACCCATATTTATTGGGAAATTGTTTAACTTACTGTATTAAGTAGTTTCTCACTAGTATTCTTGTATATTAAAAACACGGGAGGGGGGCCTTGAATTTAGTGAGAATTAGCAAGACCTGTTTGCTATGTACAGCCTATTTCCTTAGGGATTACCACAGCTGAAAGACTATAGGACAAGACGCTCCTGACACACTTGAAGTGACATTGCAGCGGTATCTGTGTGACTTCATGTTACTGGACTAAGTAGGGGTAACTCAGAGCAAGTGACAGTTCCCCTCTAGTGGTAGATGTGTACACATGGGTGTCTGTGTGCACACACATGTGGCTTTTACGTCAGTGTGTGTGGTTGGCATAGGGAGGGAGGCGGTGTTCCATATCTGAGATGAGATTTATCTTTTAGGCCTTTTTTTTTTTTTTTTTAAGTGGGGCACTGCTGAAGACACTGCATTATTGTGGCCTTTGGAAAGATTTTCATTCCTTTTCCTTGACGGGCCTCTGAAAAAGAGGTTGATGAACTCAAGGTCAGCATTTGAACCCGACTTCTATGGCTTCTTCACCTTTCCCCTGCCAGCTTTTTCAACCCTTAAAATTACCTTATGCAGACTTAATGCTAACTATGCTCACTAATATTCCCTCAGATACAGACAGTGAAGATAGAATCAGCTCCTCCAGGCTCCTTGATTCAGCATATGATTGGGTGCATAGGATATGGCAAGTATCTGATTGTGCCTGAGAATATAAGGGTGAATAAAAAGCAGCCCATATGGAGCCTGTAATTCACAGGCTTACAGGATACAGAAAGGAAGACAGTGTGTTGAATGCTGTGTTAGAAGTCCATAAAGATTCATGGACCTCCCGCTGGAATACATAGAAAGGGCACTTTATCCTTTTTGGAATAAATTGGTACTTTACCAAAATAATCAAACTTGTCATTTTCATTTTGCAATGAGCTCCTAGCCCAATGGATAGCCCTGTTACAATGAAAACAATTTGCAAACTCTGAAGCATGGCTTCAGGCTTTACTTATTTATTTTTTGTTATAGCTGTGGAAATGCTGTTCCTTTCCTCAGAGGCAGCGAGTGCTAAGCTTTCATTTTGGCTTTAGTCCCCTTGTCTCAGTGCTCAGTGTGACTCAGGAGTTGCCTCTAAGTGCAGGAGGTGCAGCCCCTGATTTCCTTCCAATTTCTGCCCATGGAGCATCCATTTGTTTATCACAAAAGTTAGAATCCGTTGTCAGGTTTTTGATTCTTTTCTGTAAATTTTTCTCTGTGCCACCTTGGATCCAGAAGAATCACATAAGCAACTGTGTCAATAAATGTTCAGTTAGGAAAACCTTATTAATAAAGTAAGTGATAGGAACCTCGATTAGTAAAGCACCAGCAGCAACCATCAACTGTAGAGAAGATTAACAAGAAAGTCACTATCAGATATTTTTCAAATATAACCTTCAGAGTGTGATTTGTCCAATCATCTACTCCTTCCACATCTGTAGTCACTGTTAATAATCAAGAGTATGGCTTTTAAAGTATTTTATGTTTTTTGTTTTTTTTTTTTTTTTGGTTTTTTCGAGACAGGGTTTCTCTGTGTAGCTTTGCGCCTTTCCTGGAGCTCACTTGGTAGCCCAGGCTGGCCTCGAACTCACAAAGATCCGCCTGGCTCTGCCTCCCGAGTGCTGGGATTAAAGGCGTGCGCCACCACGCCCGGCAAGTCTTTGTATTCCAAATATGGGTTTGTTTAAGCAAATAAGCTGCATTCTAGAATAATAACATAAGCTGTGAATGGATTGCTTCCTCAAAATAGAGGTGAGTTTTCTTCCTATATAAAGTGCGGGTTTGAATGAGAATAGCCTCCAGAGGCTCATATATTTGAATGCTTAGTCATCAGGGAGTGGCACTATTTGAGGATCAGGAGGGGTGACCTTGTTGGAGGAAGTATGTCACTGTGGGTAGGCTTTCAGGTTTCAAAATCCCATGCTAGGCCCATTTCCCTCTTCCTCTTCGCCTATGGGTCAGGATGTGGTCCTTAGCTACTACTGCAGTGTAGCCTGCACACTGCCATGCTCCCACCGTGATGACAGCGGACGAAAGCTCCAAAACTGAGAGCAAGCCCCCAACTGAATGCTTCTCTTCAAAGAGTTGCCTTGGTCATAGTATCTCCTCACAGCAGTGTAACACGACTAAGATGTATAACTAAAGTTCTTTTCCTTTCTATAACAAGGGTTCTTTTTTTCTTTTCTTTCTTTTTTTTTTTTTAGCAGATCCAGTTTGCTGACCAGAAGCAGGAATTCAACAAGCGTCCTACCAAAATTGGGCGTCGATCTCTGTCTCGTTCCATCTCTCAGTCATCTACTGACAGCTACAGCTCAGGTGAGTACTAAGCTGCCCTAACCCCTTGTCAAGGTTAATTGGTATCTGCAACAGACCTTCCATCTATCTAAGGCCAATCATTCTTGATAATTAGCCTTCAAAAAATACTGTGAATTAAAACTGAAACCAAAATTCTGGATGGAATCTCTGGATTTCTTGGGAACTGCAAGTTTTATTGAAGTCTCAGTTTCTGACAGAGCCAGAATGTGAAATGAATTGTCAAGTAGTCTATAACATTTTAAGGTGTGTGTTTGGCATGGTCTAAAGATCAGTAATAAATAATGATTTAAAATTTTAACTCCAGCTCAATTTCTTCCCTGCACGACCAGAACCATACATCTGTGTTCCTGAAAGGAAACCAATGCCTACCTTCCCACACAAGCACCTTATGTAGAGAGAATACTTTAAAAATACTGTGTACCTAGAAGAATGTGGGTGATACCTTGCTTTCCAAGTAAGCTTGGATTGCTTGTATATAGCCTATTGATAAATGATATTAACTGGTCTTGTCCTGATAAATTTGGACCTTGTAAATTGAACTATATGAAATGCCATCTGTACTGGCTAATTTTATGCCAACTGGACAGGCTAGAAGCATCAGAAGAGGGAACCCTAATTGAGAAAATGCCTGCATAAGATCAGGCGGTAGGCAACCCCATAGGCCATTTTCTTAATTAGTGATGGGGGAGGGCCCTGCCCATTGTGGGTTGTGCATAAGAAAGTGGGCTGAGCAAGCCATAAGGAGCAAGCTAGAAAGTAGGCAGCAAGCACCCTTTTATGGCCTCTGCATCAGCGCCTGGCTCCAGGATCCTGCCCTATTTGAGTTCCTGCCCTGACCTCCTTTGATGGTGAACAGCAATGTGGACCAGTAAGCCAAATAAACCCTCTCCTCTCCAACTTACTTTTGATCATGGTGCTTCATCACAGCAATAGTACCTCTAAGACACCATCTTTATGTTTTGTTTTATGCCCCTATATATGCATGCACAAATACAGATATTCATTCCATGAGCATGAGAGCCTTGCCTGTCTCTGTCTCAGGTGTGTCTGTATCACAGGGGTCTCTCTAACACATCAAACAGTATTTGGATCATAGTAGATGCTAATATTTGCTGTGAGGATGACAGGAAACTGAGGAAAGATGATCTAGAGATGGCCTTCGCCACCCAACCTGCATTTACCCTAATCTCCGTCCACAATGAGAAAGGCAGGCTCATGCTGGGGAAACTGATGGTTTATAAGTCAAAAGTTGTCAGCCTACTATATCTGTTGAAGGATATTAATTGAGGAGCAGGGAATCAGAACCCTGGTTTTGGAGACAAAAGTAGAGCTGTGACCTGGTGGATGCTGGAGTTGTGTGAGAGTGGCGTCCCTGGCACATGTCCGTCTGGCCTCACAGAGCGAGCGTTTGAACGACTGGGCCGCCTAGGTTACCGAGTTATTTACTTCCCAATAAGCTTAAGCCCTTACGTGATCTCTAGTACTTAAATGTTTTACTTAGAAATAAAATTTGCCATTTTTATTCCCTGTCTTTTTAGGATATTATACTAACCCAGATATGCTCATCTGGATACATTCTAGATGGTTTTCAGAAATGTTGTCTATGCATATAGTAGTCATGATATTTTCTGACCTAATCTCTAGGAAGTATTATTTCCATAAACTCAGTACCTTTAATTTTATTTAGTTATTTATAATTTGTTTTTCAAGACAGTCCCTCCACATGCCCTGGCTGTCTCAGAACTTATTATAGATAAGGCTGGCCTTGAACTCACAGAGATCTGCCAGTCTCTGCCTCCTAGCAGCACTTTTTAAATATAAAAACCTATTAAGCAAAAAAAAAAAAAATTCATAAAAGCAAGCGAAAGGCCAACCTTTTCTTCAGATTGAGACCATTCTCAGTGACACGTTTATGAAAATGTTATCTTTATGAGTTGGTTACAGATGAGAAAGAACAAAGTGCTGCACTGTAACTGGCACTTAACAATTTTGAGAGATTTTAAGGTTTTTTTTTTTTTTCCAAATAATAAAACTGTGTTTGTTTGTGTTGGCTGCTAACATAACTTCTCACATACTCCTCAAGTCATGTATCTGTACAGTCCATCCAAACACTGGTCCCTACTGTTATTTCCATTACAGATAAATAGATGGGGCCCAAGAGGAACTGCCTGACTTTAGTTAATTCAGTAAGCCCAACTCAGTCAGCGTTCTAGGCGCTTGCCTCCTGACAAGTTCCCCCAGCCTCACAGCTGCTGGGAGACAACGGTCAGTCAGGTGTGGGCCACAGAACCGGTGTGCGTATGTGCAGTGGGATCGATTGTGGATTCATCGAGTTATGCTTTGGTTCTTGAAAATGAAAGGAGACCACCCCACAGTAAAATTATGTTGTACTCTTTAGGGAATGGTCTTTTCTGCCTAAAAACCGAAACATTGTGGATATTATCTCATTTCCTCGTAAGATTTCCTATCAGTGGTAGGTAAGGGAAAGAGGGAGTCTATGGAGAGGGGGGATCTATTGTATTCCCCACTTTATACTAGGATAATAGAAACCCGGGAATGAGGCTGGAGCTGAGGCCCCAGCCTCCGCGAGGTCACCGCTGGGCTCCTTTTGGGAAGGCAGCCGTGCTCACCACTGCGCCGCCGCCGTCAGTGCTGCGCCACTCGCTCGTTGTTAATACCCGAGTTCAGAGTGTGCTGATGCTTACAAGTATTTGTGGAAACTCTTCAAAATATAGTAGCAGGTAAATTCAAGGCCAGCCGGAGCTATACAGAGAGTTCCAGGCCAATCTCTCCTACATAGCATGCATTATCAAAAAATAAAAGTGGCAAAAAATGAGTCTGTTCAATCTAAGTACATGCATGCCACATTAGCTGAATAAAGTTCCCACCTTGTTAGCAGAACTCTTCTCTTGACCTGGGTGTGTCACTGTAGCAGCCACATATTAGTGCGGTGTAGACAGTTGCTGCCTTCTGTACGTACCAACCATAGCTCTGGATAAAAGGCTTTGGAGAAGACCCTTTGGCTCAGGGGGAAAAAAGGTATCAGCTGACTGCTGTTAAGAAGGTAAAGCCAGACATGGTGGTACATGTACTATGAGCACTTGAGGGCAGACAGGTGGATGGATCTTTGTGAGCTTGAGGCCGGCCTCTTCTGCATAGCAAGTTCTAAGTCAGCCAGGGCTACATAGTGAGACCCTGTTTGAAAAGGAAGTAAAAACCAGTTTCCTCAGCTATAGCATAAGGAAATAATGGGACTGGTTTGTTCTTTGAATTGGAAACAAGACCAACAGCAAAAACTAGAGCCAAGGTGTTGTGGCACTTACCTTTAATCCTACCCTGTGAAAGACAGAGGCAGGAGAACTTCTGTGAATTTAAAGCCAGCCTTGTTGGTCTACAGAGCTAGTTCCAGGATAGCCACAGCATGTACGAAACAGAGACCCTGTCTCTGAAACAAACAAACAAACAAACAAACAAACACAGTTTAAATTGGGGTGCTTCTCTTAAAGGAATACTGCCTTGTTTGTTTTAGTTTACTTTACTCCCCCTCATTCATCCTTAGAAGCTGAAGAGGCTTAGGAAGGGAGAACTAGTCTGGGGAGAGTAAGGACTCCAGTCTCAACCTTTCTAGTCACTGCCTGCCAGCACCTGCCTCCCAAGTGCTGAATTAAAGGTGTTCACCATCGTGCCTGGCCTTAGTAGTTTCTTTCCTATCTCTCAGACTTTGAGACATAGTTCCATCTGTAGCCCAAGCTGGCCTTGAACTTCTGATCTTCCTACCTCTGTCTCCTGAGTGCAGTCTAGTCTTGCCAATTACTGTTTGCCTCTAAAGACATAAAAAGCATCATGATTCTGAAAAAAGGATTTGAAATTTCAAAATATTCTAAAAATAAACTCCTTTTTCAAATTCAATTTCCTTGTAAATTTGGATCAGGATTGGGGAATCTGTTATCATTTTCTCTCAGGTGGGAGAAGCATGGTCCGGTAAGCCTGTAATTCCCAAACTATATCAGAGTACTGACTGATGAAACTGACGATGCCCAGAAAGCTATTTCTAGCTCTGTTGCCAAAAGTACTTTGAGCTCTCTTACCCTAGGAGAGGAACCAAAAGGTTTTGTGCAGATTAGTTCCTTGTAAGAACAAAAGTCCCTTTGGGGCTTTACTAATTCCTTCACCTCCCCTGGTGCGCATGTTCATTCCTTTGCCCTCATTTTAGGACTTTGCTCTAAGGCAGTTTTCCAGGGAAAGAGAGATCCTCTAGCCCCTGCTGACCTCACAGTATGCAGCACTGTGCCTGATTAACTGGGCAAGGTCGGACTTGCCTTTTACAGTCCAACCTCCAATCCCCACCCAGATAGACCCTCTGCTAAGAAATCCCAGAAATGCTCTAATGCTAGACCTAAGTAGATCAGAGCACCAGGCTCACAGCAGTTCTGAGCTTTTGCAGCTTTCTCCCTAGAACTGATGGCAGTGCTGACTTCACTGAGAATGTAGATGCTCTGTGGATCATGTTTTATGTCCTCCACCCTCCCCCAAACTGCAAGGATTAGGAAGCCTATCCTCTGTTACAAAAACCAAGAAAGAAATACTTCAGACCATCTAGCGAATGATTAGCAAATATGAAGACTAAAAAGATCTCCACTAAGGCAGTGAATTCAGTAGCAGTAACTGCCTGTTGGCCACAATCAAGTGTGGCCTTTTACCTTCTAGTGCGTGCGTGCATGGTTCTCAACCTATGGATTGTGACCCTTTTGGGGGTCTCCTAAGGCCTTCGGAAAACCCAGATATTGACATTACAATTCACAACAGTAGCAAAATTACAGTTACAAAGTAGCAACGAAATAATTTTATGGTGGGGGGGGTCACCACAACACGAGGAACTGGAACTGGCATTAGGAAGGTTGAGAACACTGCTGTGGTGTGTATTCAATGTACCAAAAGAGGCTATTTCTTTGCTGCTTTGGGAATCTGAAACACCAAGGACTCCTTCTTACAGAGGTTAGTCAAGGAGGGTAACACACTGGATTGGCAGTGTCTGATTGAGTCTGCAAGAATAGTTCTGCCTCATCAGAGCCAGTCCTGAGAAACACAGCTCTGTTATGTCAGACAAATTCCTTCTGTATGGTTCTTAATTACCTTCCCATGAGTTTCTTGTTTTTTAGGTCTTGTCGATGCAGTTATTGTACTACAAAGCAAATTACTTCAGGCATCTAAACAGCAGGCAGAGGGGTGGTTATGAGGCTAGAAACCCATGGGTTAATGACTGGCCTGCTTAGGAACTTTAACCTGTGCCTTTCGTGGGGCAACTTCCCTCTCTTTGCATATTCAAGTATTATACCTCTCTGTGTTCAAAAGGAAAAGCTAGCACTAGATTCCAAATGAGTGCTACCCAGAGAGAATGCCTTTTGCGGCTCTCTCAGCTTGCCCTCTCAGAACCGTGGAGAGCGCCTTGCACAGGCGATGAATGGTACAACTCCATGTTTCATTAAGGAGCTTCCTAGAGGTGTTAATTTGTGTAGCTCTAATGACTAGTGGGGCCCCAGTGGTTTTGAATTTTGGAGGAAGCTAATCTTTTCCCTGATGGATTTTTTATTTGTGTTCCAGCTGCTTCATATACAGATAGCTCTGATGATGAGACATCCCCTCGGGACAAGCAGCAAAAGAACTCTAAGGGAAGTAGTGACTTCTGTGTCAAGAACATCAAACAGGCGGAGTTTGGACGCAGAGAAATTGAAATTGCTGAACAAGGTAAAGAAGTAAATGCATTTCTACCTGCCTGTGTCATTTTGTTGTGTTAATACATCCTGGGTCAGCAGGCTTGTCAAATTTCAGTGTACCACTAAACCTTATTTTTTGTTTATTAATTTATCTGAGACAAGGCCTCAACTCTGTAGCCTAGGCTGACCTTGAAGTTGAGGCAGTTCCCTGTCTTCAACCTCCCAAGTGCTGGGATTTATAGGTATGAGTCGGTATGCCCACCTCCTGAAGAACATTTAAAAGAATCTGAGTTGAGGAAACACTGTGGGGAGGGAGGAAACTCTGGCAGTTCTAGAAGAAACCCCTGGATAAGAAGACTTGGCAGTTATAGACTAAAACTGGAGAACATTTGTCTCTGAAAGTCTCTCAGAGAACATTCAGGAACCTCATCTAAAAGAAGCTGACCAAGGGAATGATCTTAACTTAATGAGCAATTTTTTTTTTTTTCTTATCTCTCATTCACTGTTTCATAATCTGTTTGTATCCGGCTTTTTCAGAGATGCCTGCCCTGATGGCCTTACGGAAGAGAGCCCAAGGAGAAAAGCCTTTGGCTGGAGCCAAAATTGTGGGTTGTACGCACATCACTGCTCAGACCGCTGTGAGTTCTTCTCCTCCTAATAACAGTTCGTAGTCGTACCAGCCACTGAATGCTTGCAACCTGCCAGCACCAGGCTGACCGTATCAATTTATTAATCCACATGGTGCTGTGGAGGCAGGTATTCCTTCTTCCACTTTATAAACAAGGAAGCTGAGGCCTGGTGTGCTTGAGTAGTTTGCCCAGGGTTGTACGGCTTCGGAGCCCAGGCTGCAGCTTGACCGTGAGGATGCCAGGTGAGCGAGTGAGTGCTCTCACCACTGTACTGCACATCTCCCCTGTTCCCCCTCCGGGGTCCTCTCTCGGCAGTTTTCTAGTGTAGTGACTGTCCTGTACTTCAGGGTTACAGATCCCTGGCTCTGCCCACTAACAACAATAGCACTCACCACAATCATTGTGACAAACTCTTATCTCTTCTTTTGAAGTGTAGCTGAAGTTGGTCTTGAACTCATGATCCTCTTATCTCAACCTCCCAGATGCTGGAATTATGGGTTCATACCACCATGTAAAAAGCTGGCTAGTGTGCATGTGCTCTCTTCATCTCTTTGTTCTCTCTCCCTCTCTCTCCCTCTCCCTCTCTCTCTCTCTCTCTCTCTCTCTCTCTCTCTCTCTCTCTCTCTCT